AAGGAAGGCCAAACTCCAAGTGTGAGAATCACCCTTGTGTAAAAACTCTCAGGGGTGGGGTGGGAAGTTACGGAGGAAATCCAATTTTTTTTTTTAACATTATTGGTGGGGATGTAAAATGCACAAGTGTTGTGAAAAAATAGCTAGCAATGAAACATAAATTACTACAGGCTGCGGCAGTTCTACTTCTTGTATAGCCCAGTTGAAAGCAGGGATTAGAACAGAACCTATCTAGGTTCAGAGCACCATTGTTCACAACAACCAGAAGTTATTAAACAACCCAAATGTCCATCGTGGAAAGAATAGCTTCACAATCAGAGTGTACTTATACTAATGAAATATTATGTAGCCCGAAATAGGAAATATGCTTCAAAAATTAGTCTTTTAAAAATATTTATTTATTCATTTATTCATTCATTCATTTATTTATTTATTTATTCGCATGTGCACAGTGTTCTGCCTGCATGCCAGAAGAGGGCACCAGATCTCATTATGGATGGTTGTGAGCCACCATGTGGTTGCTGGGAACTGAACTCAGGACCTCTGGAAGAGCGGCCTGTACTCTCAACCTCTGAGCCATCTCTCCAGCCCCTGAGTCTTGGTGGTAATATATTAAGTGAAATAAGCCAGTGACAATAAGACAAATGCTGTGCAATTCTGCGTCTTGTCTATGAAGTACCTACAAGAGTCAGAGTCACCGAGGTAGACGGAACATTAGATGGCAGCTTGCCAGGGCCCAGCAGAGAGGGGGAGGAGGGCTTGTGTTTAATGGATGCTTAGCTTCGGTTTGAGAAAAAGACAAGATCCTGAGGCTGGATGGTTGTACAGTGCTGTGAACACACTTAATATCTCTTGAACCGTACATTTAAGAATGATTGAAATGAGACTGGGGATGTTGGTAGAGAGCATGCCCAGCATGCGCAAATCCCTGACCCCTATCCCTAGCACCAGCACCAATAAACCTGACATGGCAGTACATGCCTGAAATCCCAGCACTCAGGAGGTAGAGGCAGGAGGATTCCAAGTTCAGGGCCAGACCCCAAACCATGACATGGCAACTTACTGTTAATTATGAATGCTCTGCCTTAGCTTAGGCTTGTTTCTAGCTATTTTTTTTTCTTAATCTAAATCAACCCATTTCTATTAATCTATGTGCTGCCCCGAGGCTCATTTACCTCATCAACGTTTTGTCCATATTGCTTTCCTTCTTCCTCGATGTCTATGTGGTTGGCCCCCCTTTTCTCTCTGTCTGCTTGCCCTGCCTGTCCTTCCTCTGCCTAGCTATTGGCCATTCAGCTTTTTATTAGATCAATTAGGTGCCTTAGGCAGGCAAGGTGAAACAGCAACACATCTTTACATAATTAAACAAATGCAACACATCTTTACATAGTTAAACAATTATTCTATTTCACAACAGAAAACCTACTGCAGTCAGCTGCTGAGTGGTTAGTTGCTTAGAATACAAGTATGTTCTGAAATTCCAGCTTCTCCTGAAGGTGTGACTTAGAGCCTAGAAATGTGGGCCGGGGGAAGCTGGGGGAGGTGGTGCATGCCTTCAATCCCAGCACTTAGGAGGCAGAGACAGGTAAATCTCTGCAAATTTAAGGGCCAGCCTGATCTACATAGAGTTCCAGGATAGCCAGGACTACATAGAGACTTTGTCTCAAAAAAAGAAAAAAAGAGAAAGAAAAGAAGGAAGGAAGGAAGGAAGAGGGGAGTATCCACTACATAAAACACAGGAAAATTTCCTTCCATTTGTCTTCTGTTAGATGGATGCTTTCCTGCTCCCTCAGTCCTGTCATCCCCAAAATGCACTGGAGTAAGGGTTAATCAATAATAGTACACATCCTGAAGAGAGCTGGGACAACTCAGCCTGCCATTTGCAAGCAGTTTTCACAGTAGGTGAGTATCTTCTGCTCAGGAGTGGAGGACGGAAAATGAGTTGAATGGATGGTTAAGCTGCTGGCAGGAAACCTTTTCAGCACATGGCCTTATGCTGGCTTTTCTTTAAAAGAATAATGCTGGACCATATTGAGTTTTAATTAGGTTTGACTTGCACAAACACTTGGATTTTAGTGTCTAAAATGTAAGCTAACTGGAAAAACCTAATTCCTACTTAATATAGTTTTCATCTGCCGATACCAATGTAATATGATTATGTCCACGCTGATTACCAGTTCTAACTAGAGTCTCACAGAAAAGGTGGTTCCCACGGAATCTCACCTCTTCCTTTTTTTTCTCATTTTTCTGTAGATAAATGTTCCCTTGGATATTCAGGCAAATCCTTGTAATCCTGGGAATGTGGTCCTTAAGTAAGTAACTCCTTGTTGGGGGAAAAAAATAATACCAGCCCTGGTCTTCATCACATTTCTGTACAGTGCTAAGCCTAAGCTTGGGTGGTTTCCAGCTTTCTGGTGACTGGAGACTTCATCTACCCATATGACTTCTGAATGTTCTTATTTTCCTCGTATTTTTGTTGTGGGCTGGCCTCATGGTGTTCTCTCTCTCTCTCTCTCTCTCTCTCTCTCTCTCTCTCTCTCTCTCTCTCTCTCTCTTCCCTAAAAGGTATGTGCTCTGCAGTCTCAGGCATGCTGGCTTTTAAGTGAGACCACAGTATGAAATAATCAATGAGATTTTAAACAGTGTTTGAAGTGGGTGGGAGCCATGCTGTACATTTTGAGACTGATATTCCTGCAGAAGCAACTCTGGGAGACGGGGAAAGGCAAATGAATCACAGATGAGGTCGAAACAAATGAAGTAAAGAAAGTGAACAGACCCCGACTTCAGAAATGGTTTCTATCCCTAATTAGGCATGATACCACCATGCTTGGTTATTGGCATGTACTCCCTCACATCTTTTGACTTGCTTTTAAAAAAAGAAACAAAGAAGTCACTTCAAGGAAGCCACATCCCATCCCAACTCTGGTGTGTGGCACAATTACCCCACACAAAGAGTCAACTAGCCATCTGACCTACAGTAAAGCTTGGGCTCTTGACACAGTGAGCGTTTCCCTGATGTCTCTTGGTTGCACATGGATTCATTTCTGCAACATTCTTCCTCCATTTATGAACTTAGCATGTAATAATCATAAAATAAGGAGAATGGATAAGGAACCCACTAATGCCCAAATCAGCCATCAAGGTAGATACGACTACTGCTATCCAGAATGTCACACACACACACACACACACACACACACACACACACAACCCCACAAAGACTTGTGTAGGAAATTAAAAATTGCTTTAAATTTTAAAGCAGATGTTCATTTCTTTTTGTAGCTTTAGGTTGTAAGTCACCCTAAAGGAACTTTCAGAAATCAGAATGTATTTCTTTGATAAAATCATGGGGTCAAGGGTATTTCAGAGGTAGATCATGTATCTGGCATGTATGAAGCCTTAGATTCAGTCTCCAGTACAGCATAATGATGTTGATGATAATAATCAAAAGTATATAACATTGTGTTTTAAAGAATTCAGTAAAGGAACTCACTTTAGGGAGCTGGAAATTTTTATGACATCAAATTATCACCTTATCAATGATAAACAAATTGACAAGATCTTACTTGTCTTACGGAGTGTCTGAATTATAGTCTTTTTTTTTCTTTTTTGCATTATGTTATGTTTGTTTTTTTACAAAATGCTAACAGTAGGGGCTGAAGAAATGGCTCAGTGGTTAAGAGCACTGACTGTTCTTCCTTAGGTCCTGAGTTCAATTCCTAGCAACCCATGGTGGCCCACAGCCATCTGTAATGGGATCTGATTCCTTCTGGTGAAGACAGGTCACTCATATACACTAAATAAATAAATAATAAAATAAAAGCTAACAGCAAGCATTTCCTGATTATACAAGCAATTAATACTAATTTTTTTGTTTATTTTCGATATTGTATTTTAATGATAACTTTTCTCCCTTCCTTTCCCCATTCCAAAACTTCCCATAAACCCCTCCATGCCCTCCTTCAAATTCATGACTTCTTTATTCTTGCCAGTGAAGGTGGGTGTAGATGTTTTCACCTTAACTCAAGGGTTAAATCTGACATCTGTGGTAGTGGGGCCAACAGGCTCATGTCCTCCCAACATGGCATCTTATGAAGTTAGGAGCCTCACTCTAAGGCATTCTTCAGAATATGAAACATGGACTGAGTAAGACTTTAGACAAGAGGAGTATATAAGGATGAACATGTTAAAACACAATGAAGAAAGAATTAAAAGGTACATACAAATATATGTGTGTGTGTGTGTGTGTGTGTGTGTGTGTGTGTGTGTGTGTACTATAACAGTAGATGGAAAAAAAGTCATGAGTTTGAAGGAGAGCAGAAGGGAGGGGTATTTGGGAGGATTTGGGGGGGGGAGGAAAGGGAGAAATAGAATTAAAAATACTCTCAAAAATAAACAAAAACTAATATTCATTGCTTATGTAATCAGGAAATGCTTGCAGTTAGCTTTTTATAAAAACAAAATGAAACATAATGCAAAAAAGAAAAAAAAATTAGGATGCTCCATAAGACAAGTGGGCTGGCCTCTTTAAGGAGTGTGTAGTGTGGGAGAATATGAGGTAGATTATAGATTGAAACAGACTAGAGATAGATAAAACAGCTGTAGTATATGCTTTTTGAATGGAATTGGAAATTGGAAAAAATCTATAAAATGGAAGGAATAATTTGAATTTGGACATAGCTTTATATTATTAATGGTTTTAATTTATTAAGTGGGACATTTGAAGATATATGTAGAGTGCATGTGAATGACTTTAAAATGGTCCTACAAGAAAAAATCCTCGGCTGGGCATAGTGGTGCACAACTTTAATCCCATTACTTGGAAAGCAGAGGTAGGTGGATCTCTGAGAGTTTGAATTAATCCTGGTCTACATAGTGAGCTCCAGGCAATAGGGCTGCATAGTGAGACGCCCCAGCTAAAGTAAGCAAATAAACAAAAACAGAGATGAGTGAAAGACGGCAAAATGATAACAATTGTTGAGGAAAATCTGGGGTTATGGCGTTCATTTACTAATTTTCTATGTCTTTGCATGTTTTCTTTTTTTGTATGTGTGCTTTTATGATAAAAGGCTTTCTAAAGAGCTCACCTTTAGAACACATGCAGAGTATGGAGGCCATGGACTCTATCCCTTTGCACTGTAAGCAGAACCAAGACAAAAACCAAAGCAAATGACTCAAACAAAAGCCATTGTATCAGTTTCTTTTCTGGTCGCTGTAACTAAATACCTGGCAAGAAGCAATTAAGGGAGGAAAGGCTTACAGGTGAAGGGGATACAGTCCATCCATCACAGCAGGAAGCCTTGACAACAGGAACACAAAGTAACCAGTCATGTTACATTTGCAGTCAGGAATCAAAGAGCGGGGACACACTATCAAAACTCAAGGCCTGCTTCCAGCTCCCAGTGACCCACTTTCTCTAGCAAGGCTCCACCTCCTAAAGATTCCATAACCGTCCAGAGCAGCTCCTCCAGCCAGGAACCACCAGCTGTTCAAACATAGGAGCTTTGGGGGAATATTTCACATGTAAACCAAAATACCCATCATTCACTCACTGAGTGAATAATGTCTGAAAATCAGATATTTCAAATTTATTTGGTTACTCCCATTCATTTGGGTAAGATCAACCTGCATACCTCATCCCTGAAATTAAAAATAAGATAGTAATACTTTCTTAAGTGATAAGTAAAACCTGGGTGTCTTAGTTACTGTTCTAGGAGACTCCAGGACCAAGGCACCCCATAAAAGGAAGCATTTCATGGGGGGCTTGCTTATAGTTTCAGAGAGTAAGTCCATGATCATTTCTGCACAGAGTGGTGGCAGGCAGGCAGGCGGGCAGGCATGGCACTGGAGCAGTAGCTGAGAACTCATATCTGATCCACAAGTTGCAGGCAGAGAGCTGGAGGCTGGGCTGGTGTGACACACCTCCTCCAGAAAGGCCACACCTCCTAATCCTTCCCAAACAGTTCCACTAACTGGGAATCAAGCATTTAAATGTATGAGCTGTTCTCATTCCAACCACCACACTGGGCCATCTCAATGGCCATCTCAATGGTCCAGTAGGTAGTCACCTCTGCCACCAAGTATAATGACCAGAGGTCAATCCTTAGGACCCTCATAGTGGAAGGAAGGAGAGAATCAACTCTATAAGTGGTCCTCAGATCTCCACACGCATGCTATGGCAGGCATGCACATGCAGATACATAACGAATAAAAGGATAAATGTAATTTTAAAATTTTTAGGCAAGTGAAAATCTAAGCCTGCTGTGGTGGTGCATGCCTTTAGTCCTAGCACCTGGGAGGCTGAGGCAGAAGAATCACAAATCTGAGACCTTGTGTCAACCAGCAACACAGAACAACAGTAAAGTAGAAACTGCAGCCCTCCCATTCAGTTGCAACAAAAACAGCCACAGCAAAAAATGATCATTTAAACTATACCACATACATTTTTCTTCATACACATCTTTTCTTCATGTTTTTTTCATCTTATAAAGGAAAACAAAAATTTGAAAAAGATGGCAGTATCAGATTTTTGGCTGTCCTGGAACTCATTCTATAGACCAGGCTGGCTTCAGACTCAGAGATCTGCCTGCCTCTGCCACCCAAGTGCTGGAATAAGAGGTGTGTTCCACACCTGGCTTAAACAATAGCAACTCTTTTCTTTTTGTACTGGGGATCAAATCTAGGACTTTGTGTATGCTTGGCGAGAACCAATGTATGACTTTTAAAAATAGATGATTTAACTGTGAAAACAATCCTGCTTATCACAAATCATTTGTTACAAATTTTCCTTTTGTGTTGGGTGAGAGATAAAGAGTATCTGTCTGAATAAAAGTGAAACAGACTTAGAGAACTGCCCACAGCTGTGCCAATTTTCAGATTAGCAAAACAATTTACTTTTCTCACCTATTTTTATCCAGCCTACTTTCCCATTTGTATGTATGTGCAGACTGTGTCAAACAAATGAATATTTATATTTTATTGTATACATTTGGAGTAACTTGTCCTGATGAGATAGAGTAATGATTTTCATTATGTTGAGATTCATTCCCTACAGTAACAAGGTAAATATTAGTTAGGCATGATGGAAATGACCTGGAACTGTAAATTACGAAACCTGGGTGAGAGACAACACATGAACATCTACTGGATTTGGGGCAAGTCTTTAGTCTCAAGGAACTTTAGAATCTTTAGGCAGTGGTGGCACATGCCTTTAATCCCAACACTTAGGAGGTAAAGGCAGGTGGATTTCTGAGTTTGAGGCCAGCCTGGTCTACAGAGTGAGTTCCAGAACAGCCAGGACTACACAGAGAAACTGTATTGAAAAACGAAGAAAACAAAACAAAAAGGAATCTTTAGGTGCCACTTTAATCATGTCTATGACAACTGATTTCTCAGCAGGTAAAAGTGCTGGATGCCAAGCCTGGTGATCTGAGCTTGATCCCTGGTACCCACATAGTAGAAGGAGACACCAACGGCAGAAAGTTGTTTTCTGCCATGCACGTGTGTGCTTGTGCACATGTACATGTGCATACACATACTTAAAATGTTAATTAAATAATCCTTCTCTGAGTTTGAGGGCAGCCTGGTCTACAGAGCAAGTTCCAGGACAGCCAGGGCTACACAGAGAAACCCTGTGCCGAAAAACCAAATTACACACACACACACACACACACACACACACACACACACACACACACACACACACACTTCCTTGATTAAAATGGACTGAAGATTCTTTGACTGGGTTGGAAGGATCCATGAATCCCCTGAAAGTAATGTGTGATAGTATGCAAGCAGTTTTACGAGAAGGGGTGTAATAAACTCCACGTTATTATAAATCTTTGCAGCAAGTCCCACCTAAGTTACCATCTGTTTCCCTGTCCAGGGATCTGGGCTGACTCTGTGACTTCCTTCCACCGAGAGACTGAGGCAGGCTTCCAAGCATTGACTTTAAGCATCCTTGAAGCTTTCATTCTGATTTTCTTGGAATGCTGCCGCCATCCAGTGAATTATCTCCAGTTTGCCATCTAGTGACTCATGGCCCAGCTTCCATCCAGAGACCACCACCAAACATACAATGGGGGCTACCTGGATCATTCAGCCTCACTTAAAGCACGGGATAACTTAAGATGGCTGAAGGACCCCAGATAAAGGTAAGACGAGAGCCGACCAGGTTGGCCCGTGGTTGCAGAACGAAACAAGTGGTGTACGTTATCCAAACCTCTTGGGATTAGAAGTGTTTCCAGCTTCAGTTTTGCTTTGTATTTTGAAATATTTGTACACATAGGTATCACAGAGGTAGGATCCAAACCTGAACACAGTCCTTTTTTGTGTTTCATATACATCTTATACATAGAGCCTGGAGGTAGTTTTATTTGCTATGTTTAATGTGTCAACATTTGACTTGCTGTCTTTTATCAAATGAGGTCAAATGCAATTTTTCGCTTACAGCATCATGTTAGTGCTCAAAAATTTTTAGAGCGTGGCCTGTTGGGTTTGGGGATGGTTTGGTGTACCACTAACTAGCTATTTCAAAAGGTCACTTTGTTTTTATCTGATCTTAAAGCTTATGAACTACTGAATTTAAATAAGCCGACTTAAAATATGACTGTTTGGCTCTTCTCTGTTCATGAACTATGTCATTGCCATGATTTAATTAGCAAATCTTAAATTCAAATGGCATTTTAAAGTAAATCCTGGGACTTCTGAATAGCAGTCTACAGTTCCAAGAATTTTCCTACTTTGCCCTTAAAAAACAAAAATGTGGGCCAGTGTCTGGGAACCTCTCTCATTCTTCCATATTTTTTTCAAAGATTAAAGCAATTGCATCTGCAGATTCTATTAACACTCTGGTTTGTTATTTCCAGACCAGTGTTGGAACTGACTAAGGACAGCTGCCACTGGCTCATGATGCCATTGGCTCTTCCTCTTCAGTTCTTCAGCAAACACTGCGGGATCACCACTTGCCTCCTCTAGAGAGAGGCTGCAGCCTGGGGTGTTGGAATTTTTTCTTTCACCTTAGACATCATGTCAACAGAGCTGTGTGGATGCAGCTGCTTTCTGGACGTGGGCTTTCTGAGTCTTTTCTTGAGTATTCCTGGCCGATCTCTTCTGTATTCATGCTTTTCTTCTCCCAAAATTGTCTTTCATACTTGAGACACACCATTCTCCAACATACCTTTTTTTTTTTTTAATTTTTTATTTTGCACGCATTGATGTTTTGCCTGCATGTGTGTCTGTGTGAGGATGTTGGATCCCTGGAACTGGAGTTACAGACAGTTGTGAGCTGCCATGTGGATGCTGGGAATTGAACCAGGGTCATCTGGAAGAGCAGTCAGTGCTCTTAACCACTGAGCCATCTCTCCAGTCCACTTTCCCACATATCTTATCTCAGTGGACTGTTTCATAACCAAAGACACTAATCTTTCTGGCTACCTCTTTAGAGCACCCTCACCACCACCCCAATATATTTAGATTTTTGCCATTTGAAATGGCAGCATCAGAATTTTATTTGGTGGGATGTCTCCTTGTCTTTTTGGAATTCCAGAGAAGGGTGTGAAAGTCAGGCTTTTACAGTTTCCTGAAATTTTCTTAAGCTCCGGGTAACAGTGTGTCTGGCAGTGACGACATCCCTCTGGAATTTTCTGATGGCCAGGTGGCCCTCTTCCAGATTCCTGTCACTTCTGATTTTTCCATTCAAAGCCTCTCAGTTGGCCAGAATTAGAAGCATGGTGTTAGCTCTCCTCATCACTGAAAGATGACATTTTCATGTAGGTTAGTGACTGTCGGCCTGGCTACAGATTTGAACCACTTGGGGGCACTTAGAAACAGTAACAACAACATCTGGAGCCCAACCCAGAGAGATTCTGCTTAGCTAGTAAGGGATCAAGGCTTCCTGTCATGTTTTCCTCCTTTAGTTTGCTTTTGATTTGTTGAGACAGAATGTGACCCAGGCTGATCTCAACTCTCCATCCTCCTACCTCGACTTCCCAAATGCTGAGGTTATTTGCAAGTGTCATGCTAAACAACTCAATTTATCTGATTATTTTGCATCGCTGGGCTCAAACCCAGGGCTGTGTGCATGCCAGGAACGTTCTCTACCACCGAACTGCACCCTCACCCCTCTTAAAAAAAAAAAGCCAAAAACCAACCTGGAATATCCTAACATGCAGTCAAAGCTGAGAATACTAATTGAGGAAATCATGGATTTATCAGATGTTCTGAATTTAGAAAATAAGACATCTGCCAGATGCCTGAAGAGTCAAAGCCTCCATCATTAAGATTTTTGAAAACTTCTCTTCTCCAGTCCATTAAATTTTAACACAAGCAATCTAGTTCTGGCATGTCTAAACAGGATAATGGCAACCAGAACCATGATATTACTTTCTGATTGTTGATATGAATCTCAACACAGCTCTAACATCTTTAAACAAGATGAAGCTAAACAGTAAAAGCCCTTGGGAATGCTCATAAAACAGAGTTCAGGACATTAGCTATTCTGAAATTCTAAATAACAATGAACCATATTTCTCTGAGACTTTTCTTATTAATTAGGATGAAGGTTTGACAAAGGAAGTCAATGTAAGAAAATACCTTTTCTCCTTCTTTAAGGAGTTTTCAGGTCACTAGTTCTGTGTTGGTCAAGAGGCAATTGATATGCCAAATATACTAAATATCAAAACATTATTTCTTACCACTTATTACACTTGAAACACTAATTACACTTGAAACACAATACGAATAGTTAAAACGTTTGCATCCTTGTTGTTACCATTATTATGTTGTAAATGTGTCCTTCCATGGTCAGGGGTTTGAAAGTGATTCTATGGGTCATGAGGAGATCAGAGCATGGATGGATTAATGCTCTCATCTGGGGAGTGAGTTAGTTATAAGTACAGTGGGCTTCTCAAAAATGGGTGTTTGGCCCCTCTTACTGTGAAAGGACACAGCACAAGAGCCCTATTGGAATGGCAGCACCATATTCTTGGACTTGCAAGCCTCTGACACAATAAGCCAAGTAAATTCCTGTTTTTTTTTTTATAAACGATCCATTATATATATAAATATAAATAATATGTTATAAATTACTCATTAATATAAATTATATAGTATTCTTCTTCAGCAAGGCAAAGCAGTTTAAGGAGAATGTTGAGTAAGCAAATTCAGCTTTCCATAAGGCAACTTTTCTCTTTTCTCAGTGGAAATGGCCTTGTTTCTGGTCAGGGGCAGAACTGATTCTGATATCATTCTCAAAGGCAGGCTTAGTGTTGGCTAAACAGACATTTGGGGACAAATGGCAAGACCACTCTGAAGTCACATGACTTGAAATGAGCATCTCGTAAGAGAGCTTGAAGAAAGGATTGCTGAATTTGGCAATCAGCACATTTGGGGAATGGTCAAGGATGATTCAGCAATTCTTTTTTTTTTTGGTCTGTGTTGTTGGACAAAATGAGCAATGCAGGAAGAAACTGGATTAGAGATGACCAAGGAAGAGTACTAACGTGGGATCTTCCTGGATGTTAACTCAGGGAGCAAAAATCTGGAAGGAGAATGTTGTAAAACTCAAGCTCTAAGCTGCTCTGAGTTAGCGATGGAGAAACTGCTATTTGGGTCGAGTAGAAGTCCAGTCTGTAGGAATCTACGAACACACCAACAGAAAGGGTAAGCAACATTCTCACATGGAAACACAGCAACTGCTTTCAATCAAGCAGGCCCTTTCGGAATCGCAAGCATTTTGTCAATAATCTAGTTTTGCAATGCGGTTTCATCTGACAAACTCTCAGGAGAAAGCACATGTAGCAAAATGGTGTCCAATAACATTAAAGGGTGCGTTTTAATGTTGTGTATGCTAAGAAAACAGTGTTCATTCTCTCTCCAGCTCTAACTCAGGCCGTCTTGAGCTGGGATTACACAAGTTTGAAAAAAATGCGTAAGAAGATAATGGAATGAAAAAAAATTGACAAAGCAAGACAGAGCTAACAACAGAGCAAAAACAGTTGATATAGGGTTTCCAAACTGATAGGTTTAACCTAGACTGAGTGTTATTTTAATGCCTTGCTGATTTTTTACATAGATAGACATTAGCTAACTGAACAAAAATATTTCATCCTTTTTTCCTCAGATATCAGCACCAAAAACAATGCAAATTTTTCTCCGTATTAAGGCAAAATCATTGATTTGTGTATGTGTTCATAAAAGGTTTTTTTTTTTTTTTTTTTTTTTAAATCAGGTTACATTTCTGCCCCTACCAAAATTATTTCCTTCCTTCCTATCTTGTTTCCTTTCCTCTTTTCTCTTTGGGTCTTTGACTCCTTTATTATTCTGAGATTTGAACCCAAGTCCTTGTTGCAAGCAAAGCATACATGGAACTACATACCCTGACATTGTGAAGTCTTGTTAAACAGCCTTGTTGAGTTTCTGGAGAAATGAGAAAAGTCTCATTGCTTCAGAGTAAGGTCTACATATTAGCACAGGAACTATAATATTAGTTATGACTGACTAAAAATAGATTGAGCATTCCATCCCTTAGAAATAAGGATCCAGGTCTTGGTAGTGAAGCTCAGTAGTAGAGTGCTTGCACAGATGGAATGCTGTCCTGTGTTCAGAGTCCTTATCACTGGAAAAAAATATCTATTCTATATATAGTTTGCAATCAGAGGAAAAATCATGTTCAGTCCTGAGATGGACATCACAGATTGTCCTTTTTACTTCTGCCCTCAGCAACACAGGAAAAAGGAGAAAACATACTTGGCACTTCCAATGGTTGGTTTGGGTTGTGGTTGTGCAAGCCATACAATCAATCTCCAAATGTCATCCTAAAATAGTAGGCATTCTTACTTGGGAACAATCCAGCCAGGACTGTACAAATGTTGGGGTCAAAGGAGAAGATATTCTACCTCCTCATCTGAGTTGAGTCTATGTGAATTCATTTAAAATGACAACCTGGATTTAGATAAACACATGCTTGAAAAACAATACTGTTCAGTATAAAAAAGAGGTTAATGAGGAAAATGCAGTCCCTACTCGATGCCATTGGAATGCAGAGGCACAGTTATTTGCATGTGTGGTATCTGTAAAAGGTCCAAGGAATTTTGTTTTTGGTTTTTTGAATTGTTTATAATGTATTCTCTTTTTGTTCCATCCACTAACAATTCCAAGAAATGATGGAAATCAAAAGACAGAACAGTATAAATGAATTTGGGTTCTAAGAAAATTACCAGTTGCAACATCAACTCTAGCCACAGTTCATAAAGCAGGTGATTATGGGGACAATAAGAAAAAAAATGTCATTAAATCAATAAAAAGTCTTGACTCTTGCCAACTCTTAAATAGCGCCTGGAAGTCTGACACTTCAAAATAGTCCATGCCAATTTTGCAACAAAATTTCACCAATAATGATGCTTATTTCAGGGGCTTAGCTTAGATAGTCCAGGCTGCTGAACATGAAACAAACTGGATCATTTTTGAGGCTGTTGCGTTTTATTAAATAATTCCCAGAGTGTCAAATAAAACAAATCTATTCTCTTAAAAGCCATCCTGGAAAGGTCAACAACTTTCCAACGGGCCAATTTCTCCTCTCACTTTGAGGTAATTTCCTCACACACTTCAGGTTCAAGAATCGCTTCATTAAGAGCACCAATTTCACAACCACCCCATTTGCCTCCGAGGCTCAGCAGCCAGAGCAGAGCCCAACACTGGGAAGCCACAGGAGCCAGGGATGTCTGGGCAGAGAGTCTGTGACATCCATGCGCAGTCCACAGTTCCCGTTCAATACAGAACGGCTGTCCACTGCAGTATGGTGGTCAACATCACCTTCTATAACAGTAGAAACACCTTTGCTTCAGCTTCCCTTTCAATATCTTGACTTCATTCTCCCCTTAGGCTTTAAAACATGCAAGGCTAGATAGGAAACAAAAACGAACAGTTTATGACATGTTGAGATTCATATTTCTGGCAAGTTCTTTTAGATGCATTAGTGATAAATTTGTACTGTACCTAAATCCTTCTGGAAGCCCCCATTCTCCTCCACTGAAACTCAGTGGACAGGACTTGCTGTGAGCCTCAGCATGAGGTGACTATTGAAGGATTCAGGGACACTTTTAACCTTCTCTGTCAGACTTTCTCAACAGGATAAATAACAGTGGCTCTCAAGGTCTGTTCCTTGGACTAGTTTTAGCATTGCTTGAGAAGTTCTAAGAAATGCAGGTTCTTAAGCTCTGCCTCAGACCTACTGAATTAGAAAGGAGGCCTCAGGCATTTAAAAACAAACAAACAAGAAACATTTGTTTAGTTTGTGGGGGGGTGGGGGGGTGTACCTTGTCACAGGGTGGATCACAGTGATTGAACTCAGGTTTACCTACTGAGCCCACTTACCAGCCCCCAGTTAGTTAGGTGATTCTGTTACCTTCTAAAGCTTACACGCACATGCTATTAGGGAAAATGCACTTCTGGAATACTAGAAAATGAGCAGTAATGCCTTCTAGGTTGGTAGCAGGGGGAAGTCAACATATCCCTCAATTCAGAGCTCTGGGTTGGTAGGAGTTGGTAGGTCCCTCTTGATCAGGATCTTATGTAACTCTCCTTTCCCCCGGCTTACCAGATGGCACAGAGACCCAAAGTCATTTGTATTGTACACTTACAGGGTAAGAGAGAGCCCAGCCCGGAGGTGAGTTGACCAGCCACACCCAAGTTGACTCGTAGCCCAGTCAGGCAACCTTAGCATCTAGGCTGGAATGAACAGGGGGATGGCTGGAATCCTCAAGGTCAGGTCCGGAAGGTCAGCTTCCCAGAAAAGAGTAAATGTGATTTAACTGGGGTCCTGAAATTGGAGCAATGGGAATAGTATCTGCTGCTCTTCAACACGAAAGCACAGGAGTAGAAAGAGAAATGGAAGCGTTTCTCACCCCTGCACCAGACACTGAGCCTTCTGGGGTGTCACTATCACCCAGAACTGTTAAGATACTAGGACCTTTTTCAAAACTCTGACTCCAGCTACTTCCGCTCACAGCATTGACTTCAAGATGAACTAATAGTCGACAACCTGTGGTTTGAAACCCACTGCTCGAGAGAGAGAGAGAGAGAGAGAGAGAGAGAGAGAGAGAGAGAGAGAGAGAGAGAGAGAGAGAGAGAGACTGCTCCAAAGGGCACATTGCAATAAACATACGACTAGCATTATTATTTTTTTTTTAAAAAAATCAACAACACATGTCCTTGCTAATGTTGCTGAGTGCTTTATGTGTTAGGGTATGTTTTTCTGTCATTTGAATTAAAATCCTAAGATTGCTACAGACCATATGCCAACTCTATTCCCACAACATTCCAATGCATTTGAAAATTACTTTTATTGAATTTATCTTAACTTCAGACTTGATGATGATTGTCTATAGACGAAATGGCCAAATGTCATGACAACATTAGTAATTATTTTCCAAATTTCAACAAGCATTTTCATCCAATGGAATTTGATTTAAATCAAATTAATCAATGTAAGTGTTTAAGGATGGGATTTCTCCCCTATCCTAATATACAATACACGAAGACTGGAAACATTACAGAAGTGTTTTAAACAGCGTTTAAAAACACACACACACACACACATACACACACACACACACACACACACACACACACACAACAAAAAACGCGGGCACTTTAGAAAGATGCAGCCCCTCAGATGTCAAGAACCTGAAACCCCTCCTCTTGAAGCTGGAAGATTTCTTCTTTATAAACACGCGTGTATTGCCACGTTGGCCACCACACGAGACACTCGGAGACACGCTCCTGCACCCACTCGGAATGTGCACACCGAGCGAACGCGAGTGCCCACCTGGCCCCCGTGTCATCTGCAACCCAGACAGGCTCAGGACGCGGGCAGATGGGAACCGGCTCTAACCTCTCCTCGCTCTCTTCCCAAATCAAAACCCACCGTAAACACCACGAAGAGCCAGGAAACCTCACGGCTTTAATCATTTCCTTTCCCCCGAGCTCCATGTGGCACACAGGACACTCCGCTCTCCTTTGGGCTTGTCGGCATCTTGCGAGGGGTGTGGGAGAAGAAAAAAGAGAAAAGCAAACCGACCGGTGTCTGCAGAGGCGGAGAGAAAGCTCCAGCCCCAGACACGAGGGTCCACCCGCCCCCTCGCTCTCTCTGAGCTAGCCCTGGAGCCCTGCGCTCTCCAACGACTTGAGAGTTGGCGCCATCTGGCTTTTTAAAGAAGAACACGAGGCGGCGGGAGGTAAAGGAGGTGGAAGAGGGCCTGCGCCCTCTTTCCCAGTACCAGTATCAGTACCAGCAGTCTGATGAAGGAGCAGTTAGGGAGCTCCCCCACCCCCGTCCCCTCGCAAAGCCACTGGGCAGCCGGTCCGCAAGCCAGCAATCTGTGCCAAGAGGCAGTCACCATGCTTGAGACCCACCCCCCCACCCCCCCCACCCCCCCCACTGATGGCTGAATGATCCCGTTTTCCAGGCAGGTCCGAAAAGGAGAAGTAATTGTGTTACTTAGAGAATTATAAATAAAGCACCATTAACAGGTATGGACTACACCCTTCTGCGGAACCAAAGGGAGATAGGAGAAAGGGCATCCCAGGGTTATGATTTCCCCACGCGACTTTCTACTCTGAGGAAAGGAATTAGGCTAAAGGAACTCCCACTCTCCCTGACCCTGGCTCCAACCCCGCGCCTTGTTAATTCACGAACATTATGGAAATAATGACTTCCCTGATTGTTCCAAGAGACTAATGAGGAAGTTAAATGAAAAGCTAGATCCCTCCCCTTCTACTAATTATAGCAGGGAGGTTTAATAAGTCGAAGAGAAATGGCAAGTGATCTTTATTAGCCATCCAGTGCCTTATAAATAAGCAGTTAGTCCTTGAGCAATGGATGTAATGGTTCCACAGAATGATGGTTAATGATGGTAGAGACTGCTTTATCTATGATGTTGAATAAATATCAAAAAGTAATTATTATATAAAGCTCAGTTGGTAAAGTGCTTGCCTTGAATGCCTTGGGCCCTGGGGTCAACCCTTACCTCTGAGAAAAGGTAGGTAAAGTAATTATTATGGATTCTTTTTAGCCTGCTTTTTAAATGGTGGAGTTCAGAGAAAATTGTTGGAAGTTTTTTTTTTTTCATTCCATTGTACCATGCACAAATATACACATAGATGTAACTGACATGTGCACATTATATGATGATGTGTGTACACATGGGAAATATGGGTCTGCAGTCATCAAAATGTCATGACTGCAGCCATCAGTTAACAAAGACTACTGCATTCAGTTTTCACTCACTCTTCCCAATGTTAGGAGCTGTTGTCTGTCCCCACCCAGAGCTCAGAGAAACCATTTCCCTCCGATGCTGATGATACGTAACAGAACTAAAGCTATTTATTTGAACTCTGAGCATCATCATATTCAGCAAGCATGTGATGAACACCTATTCTGCATCTGGCACTAAACCATGGTGGGAACAAAGAGAAAAGATACATTCTACTACTCTCAAGCAACTCTGCTTGAGAAATGACATTACCCCCCCCCCCAAGGCTTAGTGTGGGATTTCGAGAAAAGGCAGTCTGAATCTTGCAATAGGAAAAGCCTGATGAAGGAGGGAGGTACGGAAGGCAAGATGAATACAGAGCCAAAAAAAAAAAAAAAAAACTCAAGCAAAGCTGAGTGACAGATCCTGGGTTTTGCCCACATCCATTCACCACTTCTATGGCCAGTGTAAGCAGCCAGTCTGCCCTCATGGTAACTGGACTTTTAACATCTGTCACTATGGGGACAACATCTGGCAGTGGCTGTTGGGGCTGGACAAGTCATTCTTTCTTATTCCATTTATGGTCTCTGATGAAGAGGTTCTCTAAAACCTGGTCCTGCTTGGGGTCCCTCCAGCCTCCAAGTTATCCGCGTCAACTTCAGAGCAGAGTAGCTAGCTCGTCCTCTACACATCCCAACAGATCCTCTGAAATAGTTTGGATTTCAGCCAAGCGGCATCAATCCTGCTTAGTCAAGGTCAACCAGGGCAGGGTGGGTAGAAAAGAGGGAGTGGGAAGACAGTTCCCTCAGCCATGCTCTCACAGGAGAAGGTATTCCCCCAGTGCAAGCAACCTTATCTTTATGACCTTATCCTTGTGGAGAATCACCCTTGTTAGCTCCTCCCTGTGCCCCCATGCTGTAATTTGGGTGTCTGTTGTGTTTTGAGAAAAGCCAATCGAATACTATTGTGAATGTTGCTTTCCTTAATTTCCTTCCTTCATCTGGTTTGACCAGAGATATTCATCTTTCTTGCCTTGGACTTCAGTCTTTAAATAAATAAAGAAAGAAAAGATTTGCTGCTGTACTTCTTGCTAGAGAACCCATAACTGCGTTCTAAGGTCTTGAATGGTTTTATACAGCAGAGCTGGGGCATTTGAAGAAATACTATTCTAGTTGGGCATGGTGGCACACACATGTGCTCAGGGGGCAGAGGGAGGTGGGTGTCTGTAAGTTCCAGGCCAGCCTGGTCTATACAGTGAGACACTCACTATCTCAAAACTAGACACACACACACACACACACACACACACACACACACAAAGAGAAAAGAAAAGAAATGTATTCTAAGCAAAGGTACTGGTACTATCATTGAGCTCTGTTTTGAGTTCATGCTTCTGAATCAAAAACCATTACACTCTGTCCCTATTATTTACAACCTGAACTAGAAAGCCATGTAAGGCCTGCAGATCATTGGAGTGGCAGGTGGAGGTAGCCAAAGATGTGACCTGTGCTGACATAAAGCCTACTGCAGAGACCAGGAGGCCCCATCTCTGTCATAAATTTCTGGAAAGAATGTGACTGTAGGAAGCCGACCTGAGCTTTCCAGCTGGGTGACCCGAGGACGCCTCTTTGGGCCCCATTTCTTATCTGCAGGATGAAGGGGCTGAAGCTCCTCTAACCTCCTCCCAGGTTTCATGTTCTTGCTTCTTCACGTAAGAGTAAGCTCTAAATTCCATCAGGCATAACTATACGGTTTATGAAGTGCTGATAAATAGATAGAATACCAGAGAAAATGAGAAGAGAATTCAGGCTTATGGGCCAAAGAGCTCACCTAGACTAAAAATTAATATTTATATGTAAATGTGTATATATTTTATATGTGTATATAATACATGCATACATGTATCTAGAGAAACAGGAACCTGAAGGAAGTGGCTGGCCACGGAATACAGCAGGTAGGTCAATGACAAATCCAGGTCTAAAGCAGAGGTTTTCTAACTACTGGCAGGATAATTCGCCCGCTGGCCCTGTGTATATCTTATATGCCACTAGAGAGCTGGAAGATTTGATAAGATTCACGGTTAATCAGCTCCATGTGTGCTGTGCTTCCTCCCCCCCCCCCATCAATATTGTGTTAGAAAAAGCTGCATGTTCTGGCGACAGCCTGAATCTTCTTTTAAATGGGAGTCCTAAGAACTCACCCCTGCCTTTAATACTAACTCTGCATGTAAATTCGCTGAAGGATAATATCCTGAGATCATTTTTCAGAGGTGCTGAAAGGAGTTCATTTAATGGAAGGGGCTAAAGGAGAGGACGCTCTCTGAGGTCTCCCACCAGGCTGCTGTGGGATGGTGAGGCACGCAGTCAGCCTGGGAAGGAGGCTCCATCCTAGCTTTGTGCCCTCGGCAAATAACTGCCTTCTTGGGTCTCAGCTCCTGCAAGACAAGTCAAAAGTTGAAGTAGATCAGTTTATTGAAGCTTGCTGTTCTGGGATTTTTCCTTGACTCACTTCCTGAAGCAATTTACCTGAACCTGTTAGCCAGCTATCTGCTTCTCTCTGCTGGAGAGTTTAAAAAGAAAGGAAGGAATGAAGAAAATTGGGATAGTTGTCCGGATAATAGTAGTAAAAAGAGGCTTTGAACGGATATTGCTTAGACAAAAATTTAAAAAAAAAATGGATCGACAGATTGTTGCCTTCATTTGCTTACTTCAATATTCATTTGACAAATAGGAAAGACTTTCTACATTGAGAGCCATGTGCTGTGGTAGAGAGACATAGCCAGAATATCTTGACCTTAGTTTAGACAGCGGTTGCCAACAAGGAAACATGAATCTTTGGGAAAAGGGCACCCCGTTGTAGCATCTATAAATCTGATAATGCTCCTACTCTGCCCCAGTCCCTTCTGGGTCTTGATCAAGTTCCAACCTCTCCACCTTATGCTGAGGGCAGGCCCATCCTCGAAGTCCCTTCCTCGTTGAGATTTGTTCCCGAACTGCCTTAGCACAGCCCTAACTGCCTTCTGTACAGGCAGAACGCCCTAGGTAACCTGAGTCCGAAGTTCCCTCCCATCTGGGGAGGAAAAAAAAAAAGTGGGGGGTGGGAGATCGAAAGAAAAGAGAAAAATACTGAGAAACATGTTTTGGCAGACAAGGCCTTTGGAGACGACCATGTGCGCTCCATATTGAGCAAGCCCAGGTCTTTGAAGTTTTTGTGAATGTAAAAGCATTATTCTTTCTCAAACTGTGGCTAAGTAGTACAGACGTTAAAACAATGAGGCCAGAAGGCGCAGACGCGGGACTAAGTGTTTAATTCGTCCTTCACCCAAGTGCCTGCCACCAGGTAGCGCCCCCCCCCCCCCCCAGTTTGCACCCAGGCAGCTTGCAGGGCTGCCCACCCCTGCCTTCAGACCCGGGTTTGTCTGGGTCCTAGAACACCTTAGAGCCAAGTTCGGAAGTAAGTACTTTCCCAAACGCCCGGAGAAAACTTCCCAGATGTTTCCTGTGCTACGGAAAGCAGCCCAGGTTGGATCTGAAACATTTTTCTCACAACGGCGGCACGGCGGCAGGTCACAAGGCCCGCCAGTCACCCCGCGAGCCCCGCTCCTTGGCGGCGGCGAGCTGCGGGATGCACCCCAGCTTCTGCATGCCCAAGTCTCAAGCCCATTGGGATCCCTGGGGGCTTCCCGCAGAGAGGGACACAGAGGGCGGGAGTATAGGGGACGTTTTATTATGTGTGGAATTATGAATCCCACCCGAAGATCTCTAGTACATCTACTCTATAACGCATGGTGAGTTTTTCAGTCATCGGGCTCCTATTATAAATTCTTCTTTCCAATGGCATCGTTCTATCCCACTGCAGGGCAGAACGGCAGCTTAACTAAAACCAAAGACTAACTCCCACGTGTGGTTGCCATTTCCCTTCCCTCGATCAGCCAGTGTAGATTCCAGGAGTGGGTGGGCAGGAGCTGCAGGGGATCACAAACACGGCTGTACACATTCCGATAGCCCAGGTCTCCTGGGAAGGAGGGCAGCCAGCTCCAGGTGCTTCCGGGTCTCAGCAAGCACTTCCGGGCTGTGTGCACCACCCTGCGTAGCCTCAGAGTTGTGGTTTAGAGTATCGCACATCGTGAAGGACTTTGCTCTCAAGGGCTTGGTAACCATGGTGGCACAATACTGTCCCGGTGGGCGACACCAGAACATCCTTTAATCCTGAAGAAGCTCCTCCATCGCTCAAGCATTTTATGCTCTTGGACATATCCTGCCCACGAGGTGCACAGCCAGGACATTCCACCAGCCTTCCTGTAGCTGCTCGCTTCCTCGCTGGGGCATATCTTGGACTGTCTTTACACAGAGTAAAATCACTGGGTCCAACATGGATGATCTTTCTATACACAGGCCTCCAGAGAAGCCCCATTCCTAGACGTTTGGATGATGCTTGGACCGGGACCCACGGGCCCTGCTCACTCTGACCTCTAGGGAGTCAGGAAATGCGCACAGGGGTCACAGAAATGTCCTGTCAGTTAAACCAGTCAGCCAGAGTGGGTCCCTCGATACCTAGGTGTGGATTACTCAGGAAGATCTGGTTATTCAGCTGTTTGGGGAGGCATCAGGTGGAAGGTGGGAGAGGGTCCTCCTGAGATAATTTCATTCTCTTCCGCGACCATGAAATGAACTGCACAAAAATTGATGGGCACTCGTGAACGTTAGCTTCTGTTCCCTCCATAATAACAATAATTGTTCCTTCTCCTCGGAACTTCAATTTGTCAACCAGGATCACTGTGGTAGCCTACCATGTACTCAGATCTTGGTCAGGCCTTATAGGGAAGCAAGGTCAGGTTTTCCAGTGTATGAGCCTGGTTCAGGCCTGGGAGTTAGTTATGGAAGGGCGGGCGGGAGGGCACCCATTCAAATGCTTTTTTTTTTTTTTTCCTGATACTTTTTTTCTGGAATAAATCAAAGGCACACAGAGAATACAATACTGTATGCCTGGACCTCCGGCTTGGCTTCCTTTTTTTTGACCTTTCCTCAACCTGGCTTTCCCTTTGCAAGAGGAGATTTGGAATTCCTCCCTCATGGAGAGCGGATGGGGAAACCACCAGCCCAGGTAAGCATGGGAGCCACATGGTCTGGTGAGCTGAAGAAAGGAAAATCATCTCCAAATGCAACCAGCCAGGTGGGGGTAGAAGCTGGAAAGAGAATAGGAAATCTGAATATCCCCAAGTCAGCAGACTCCATAGCGGGTGGTGAGGTGTGAGAAACAGTCAGCATTTGAAGCAGCAGAGTCAGAAGTTTTTTTGGCAGCCTTTAGATTAACTTCCAGATCTGCAGTAAAGTTCACGTGACCAGAAAGATGTTTTCGATGTTCCGTTGCCTGGTTCCCTCCTTCACTCTCTTCGCGTCTTACATGTTCAGGAGATTTTACTGGGCTCTGGTTGAATGGTGGTACTGACCAGATGTGGACCTAGGGAGCTGTCCTTGAGGCCGAGACCATCGCAGAGGCAGGGGCGAGCTCAGGGATGGACTGCCTTCTAGGGCTTCTTCCACTGCAGGTATCACCAAGGTGGTTTTTTGTTTGTTTGTTTGTTTTGTTTTGTTTTTTCAAAATGGGGAATCCTGGCTGTCGTCTTTCCAACCATCAGCCTGTCAGTTCTTGACCCTCCGCAAATGGTCTACACTTTAAAAAAGAAAAAAAAAATCTATGTGAAGTTCCAGGCGTCTTCTGAGGCCGGCGCCTTCCGGCTGCAGCAGTCACGTCGCTGGAATCATGCGTAATTAGGGCCTGACCACTATGGAAATATAAACAAGATGCTTACTTTCCTTACCAAGAGAAAATAAATAAATAAAAAGGAGGCCTGGGGTTCAAAGAAGAACTCCTTATGAAGCATCAAAAGGGAGCAATACCTGTGACTTTGAACTCTTCGCCACCAGCGAGGGCTGGGGGAGGGGAGGCTGGACTCTGACCTAAGTATTGATACCTGGCCTGCGTTTCTGGGTGCAGCCCTGGGCTCCCGAGGGGTCTCCACCACTTGCTTCCTGATCTCAACTCAACTCCAGATCTCTCTCCATCTCAGATTCCCTAGTCATGCATTTGCGACTGACCTGGAAGACCCGCAGGGAAGAGAAATCTGTGCGCCTAACTTCCAGGGACCAGCCTGGGGTTGGGGGAGCAGAACGTGGGCTTCTTCGAAGATGAAAACCTTGCCCAACAAGGTTGGGGAAATGTATTTGGAGGCAGGTTTGAGAACACGCTAGTGAGATCCCAGGGAAAGGACTACAATTCCTAGTCAAGGGTCGCAGGGGCGGGGAAGGCAAGGGGAACTGGGGAAGGTCGGGCAGGCCACAGTCTCACTGGAGAGGCGGCGGCGGGGGGTGGGGGTGGGGGGGTTCCCTGAAAACTTGAAGAAACCACACATCGGTGAGGATAGCCCGCGGTCCACAGGCGGCACTTTAATACTCCGGTTTTGTAACTGCAAAGACGAGGAGGGCACAAGTCAGTCCAGAAACCAAAGTGTGCAACCCCTGATCACATCCACCGATTGCCACCCAGCCGGATGGGCGAGCGACTCTTACAGAGGTTTCCAGTTCTACAGGAATGGCCAATCTGTCCACCCAGCTGACGGCTTTTAAGGCAGTGTCATTATCAGGACAGGAGAGACTTAGACTAAATCTGCTGCGGGAGAAAAGAGCGCAGTAATGTTTTCTGAAGTACGCCAGAAGTGTCTTCCAATTTCCACAGCCGGTTGTAGCATGGTCTAATAGTTCCAATAATTACCATCCAGCGGCGCACGACCGCAAGCCCCAGAGCGCGGAGGAGCCCACCTAAACTGGCATCACCTGGTCCTACAACCGGGGGGGGGGGGGGAGGGACGCCCGAGAAGCAGCGACTCTGTCAACGGGCGGGATTCTCCAACTCGCAGCTTTGGCCGGAGCCGGAGCTGCAACTGTTTTACTCATTTGGATCCCTCTCTTTGGGGATTTGGCTTAAGAAATCTCTCTGGTCGTTAATAAATGCAGTGTGATCACTCTGGCCCAGATCAACCCTGTGGCCAGCAGCCCAGGGGCTCAGCCTCGGGCGGGCGGCGGCTCAAGCCTGCTCCTGCGGTAGCCGCGAGGGGAGTGCCTTAGACTGGACCCCCGGCGCCGCCAGAGCTTTCTTTCCCCACCCCAAGTCTCCTGCTGGCTGCCGATTTCCCCTTCCACTGCCAAAGGGTAAGGCTTGCAGGAGTATGCAAGCGTGCGGTTCCCAGGCAAACAAAACAAACAAACAAACAAAAAACCTTCAGGGTAAGAAGAAGGAAAATGGGTTCTAGGAAGCACATCGAGGAAAGTCAGAATGCGTTGTGGGAACTCCGGGGCAAAATTCCGCACGCCCTTCAAAAGTGGTGGGCAATTCTTCTTTCCTGTTGCCGTCCCCGTCCCCTCTCTCCACAGTTTCTTGCTCTCCTTTGCATTTCCTGCTTGGTGGTCTTGGGTTTTGGGTTCCAGACAGTGGGAGTCTCCGTGGGAAGCCAATCTGAGAGGAGGGAAGACGGAGTTTAATTTAAATTAGCAACTAATTCCGATCTCAAGGCCTTGGGTCTTCCGCCTGGGCGGTCACTACCGCTGGTAGCAGGAGAACCCTCCACAGCAGACTGTAAAGAGGGGCGTCGGGAACTACATCCCCACCTGTCCGCCAGCTAGCCTTGACTGTCACCGCCAAGTCAGAGTAGCAATGTCTGTGAATTGAGGACAATAAATCACCATATTCTGTCTTCTCACCATGGCAACTATAAAAGGAATTACTATAGCCTTGTGTGATTAAAAAGTCCCATCAAACGATCGCTGATTCAGCCTCCTCCAGGTTTTGCTTAGTGCTATGGTAATAATTAGGGCCCAGAATCTTTAAATTAGTCACGAATGCAAGAAATGCATCCCTTGCGCACACACACATACACACACACACACACACACACACACACACACCTTTTTTACACAAAGGGAAAGTAGTGGCTCATCCTGGATGGGTATGGCTTCTTGGACTGTGCATGTCCAGCCTAAAGAGAAGATTGTGGAGTAAGGGTCCTCCCTCCAATCCTCCAGTCCCCCAGTTGTTGTATTTCCTCTCCTTCTCTGCCTTCTCCTTATTTCTTGGCATCTTCCTCAACATCAGCACCAGGAAAGTGAAGAACGGGAGTGATATAAACCACCCCTCCCAACATGGGCTGTGGAAGCAGGAGATTCACTAGCCATCTTGACCACATAACCAACTTGACCTACATGAGACCTTGTCTCACAAAGCCAAAAAGTGGCTACAGATGGCTACAGAATTGAGAAGATCTGTGCGGGGACTGTATCTTTGTAGGAATGAAAATAAGAGGGAATAATTTCCTTTGACAAATTCCTATGTCACCCGCCAGGAGAACACAGCCCACAGAATCAACTAAGCAGGCCTCATGAGGGCTCACAGAGGCTGAAACAGTGGTCACTGAGCCTGCAAGGATCTGCACTAGGTCCTCTGCAAAGGTGTTATGGTTGTTGGCTTGGTATTTCTGTGGGATTCCTAATAGTGGGAGTGGGGGTGTCTCTGACTCTTTTGCCTGCTCTTGGGACCCTTTTCTTCATACTGGGTTGCCTCACCCAGCCTTGATGTGAGAGTTTGGGCCTAGTCTTATTGTATCTTGTTATGCTGTGTTCATTGATATCCCTGGGAGGCCTGTTCTTTACTAAAAAGAAATGGAGGGGGAGTGGATCTGGAGGAGAGGGGAGATTGGGGGAGCTGGAAGGGATGGAGGGAGGGGAAACTATATTCGGGATGCACTGTATGAGAGAAGAATAGAGAAAATATAATATAAAGAAATTCCCATGTTATATCACCTCTGTCTGAAGGCCTATAGACTTGCTTTGCTTCCTAGTTTTTCATCTTCTATCACCCTTCTCCTCAAACCCAGAACCTAAGGCATTATCTCCAGAGATACCCACTTCAGATAAGAAAGATGTCTGCAACACCTCGAAGCTACTACTGGATGGAAGCTGGTAGGTAAACATGCAGATCACTACATATGGGAAGTGTAGCTCCCAGGGCTTGGCTTCCAGAAGCCCACACTGAGCACTCTGCCCTCTCCGGGTTTAGAGGGAGGCAATCCCTTCTGCTCACTGAGCAAACTCCTGGCCCTGAGAAGTGAAGAAATGAGTAGGCAGCCTCCCCAGTTTTTGAGACGTTCCTGCTCCAGGCTGAAGAGGGAGCTTTGGGCTTGGTTTAAAAGCCAGGAGCAGAAACTCAAGTCCAGTGAATTTGAGTTTATACCTTCTCAAACCCTGACGAAGTGGAGAGAGGGAAAAAAAAAGTCTCCGTTAGTGAGCCATTGTGCTCGGCGGCGTTCCTTTGGTTGGTGAGAGCGATGAGTAAAGGACTCTGCCACGAGTGTTTCAGAGCATGTGTCGCATGTGTCGGGAGCAGAGTTGAAACTGCTCCACAGATCTTCAAGTGCTTAGGAGAGCATTTCCCAGCACTTGAGCCACACTCTAGGAGTGTGCAGAAGACTCATGGAAGTCATTTCAGGTCCCTCTGCATGGGCTCAGGAGAGCCAGCCCAGCCTACAGGGCTCTCAAAGCCACCCTGTCCTAGGAAGCTGGGAGTTCACTGGAAGGCACAGCCTCTAGCTAGGGCTGTCCTTTTATACCGCAGTCTCCTTTCAGGCATAACAGATTTGGAAATGTCCTCCTTGAAGCTTGTGAAGATAGAACAACGTGACCCTGTAAAATGTTTGGCGCTTAATAGGCACTCATTAAAAGTTACTTCCTTTCCTCTATGTCCTGGAGGTAGGGGGTGGGCACATTTTTATTGCTCCTCCAGATGGAAGAACTGAGGTGGGGTTGTGGAGGGGCTACGGAGGAGGATCATTAACTTCCCTGAGCTCCTTGCACTGAAGCCCAGTGGCCACCAGGCTTATCAAGAAGCAGACTCAGCCCTGAGTAGGTGAGAGCTGGTACAGAGATGTGCAATGCTCCGTTCTGGGCCCAGTCCACCCCAGGTGGGCTCTCAGAATGCCACTGCCATAGAGGATCTAATCACCCCTCTTCCTCACTCCCCTGAATTTGCAGGGCAGCCCTCATGGCTATAGCTGAGGGAGACCTGAATAAGGGGCTGGGATCATTGCATTCTGCACTCTTAGTGCCCAAAGGTTACTCACTGGATCTGGTGCCCATGAAGGGAAAGGATGGCCACAAACTGTTAGTTCCATTCTCTGAGCAAGGCCTGGAGCATGGCCCTGGTTTTTTGTTTGTTTGTTTGTTGCCTGGGGGTTGGGGGGGGGGAAGAATCCAGGATTTTGCTCATGCCAATTAAGTGCTGTTATTATTATTTTTTTTAATCACCAATCTAACATCAGCTCTTACAAGAAGCCACACCTGTCCACAAACTGTGTCTTCCTATGTCTGACCCTACCAACCCCCTTGAAAAGACTCTCACTAGACTGGTGTGGCCAGCACCAAGTCGAGTTACCAAGCTGGGGTAGGGTGGTCAAGCTGAAGAGGAGAGAGGAAGGCAACAGTCTCCAAGACTGAAAGAACAACCCTCATGTCTGGAGTGCTGTGGGAGGCCTGGCTTGGTGCATGGAAGTATTTAGCAGGTTGAGTGCCATTACCGCCTAACAGGGTGTGAAAAGTAATATGAATGTGAAATACTGTGGGAAAATGGAGAGTTTCCAAGCAGGCAGCAAGGCCCCTCTGGCTGGCCTGGAAGACCCAGAATCCCTAAGCCCCTTTGTGGAGCTCCAGGAGTTGTGAACAGGAAGGCAATTGGGGGGGGTGGGGAGTGTGAAAAGAAAGGAAAGGAAAGGTGCATGCTTAGGGTACTCTAGTGGCAGATGGGGACCCAGCTGACAGCTGGGGGTGGGGGGGTAAAGCCCTGCTTCCTCTGCTCCTCCATTCCGTCTGAGGCTATGCGTGTATAAAAGATAAAAAACAATATTTTACCCATCTTATTAAGTTACAACCCGTCAAACCAGCAAGGGCCAGAAAGTATGTGGGGGCTTCCCCGAGAGTTGGGGGTGAGAGCTGAATGCCAAGACCCTGGACTGATGGAAATATCTCACATCAACCCCAGATCTAGAGAGTACCCAAACCTGGCTGCCCAGGCTGTACCCTGTAGACAAAGGCTCGCTCACGTTCTGACAATAAATACCTCTTCCTCCAATATACAGAGAGTGGCTTCTGACTTTCCCCGGGTTTACCCAGGCCTGGGTAAACCCTGTCTCAGGCAATAGAGGGAGCCAGACCTTTTACCTTCTCAACAATCCTTGAGAGGTGCGACTTTTTTCTGTGAGTCTGTGGGGGGAGGGGGGTAAAGTCACACCACTTTTTCTCCCCACCCACGCATGGAAGAGCACAGAAATAAGCTCCAGGCTGGATTCCCCTGGTGCAGAGTGGAATTAACCTCAACCTCCGCATCCCTGGATAACCCGTGCCTCTTTCCAGACACAAATGCGCTCAAGGACCTGGAGGCGACTACTCCACCTTCAGTTGAGGAAGCGAGGCAGTGAATTCCTCCCTGAGAGATAGGCACCAGCCCAGCAGCACTCTGGTCCTCGACCAATTTGAAGAGTTTGTCCAGCGCTTTCACGGCACAGGATTTCATCAGACTGCATCGCAGCAGCCAGACCAGAATACAGATGCTTACAGATGGTATACCTGGTTTGAAAACAGACCCCCATAGCATAGTACTCTGTCTTACAAGTACTCAGCCCACTATTGAGACGCACGCTAGTCAATTGGCTCTCTCTTGCAAACAACTGGGCGTTCTAACAGCAAACCGAGGCTCTAGGACCCGCAGCGGGAAGGGCGCCAGGGGATGTGCAAGGGGAATGAGAGACAAAGCTCGGACGCCCAGGCCGAGGAGGCCAGAAAACTGGCCTGCGATGTACTGACCTCCAACCTCCATCCCCAGGCCCGAAGCTCCAAAGCCACACCTGGCGCTCCTGCTCCCAGGGAGCACCAAGGACCAACCGTGCCAGTCCCAGAGAGTCAGCTGCATCTGAGGCCCTGGGCAAACGGGCCTCCTTGGAGGGCCGAGGCCGCGGGTGGGGAGCTTGCAGCTTCTTGGCCTCCCCACTCCGCGCGTGGGGCATGGAAGGCGCGCAGCCCGGCCTCCTTGCTTGCCTTCCTTCCCGGGTGAGCTCACTTCCTCCGGCGCCGCTCCATCCCCCGCTCCAGGCTGGTACCCGCTCCAGGCTGGTACCCGCTCTGGCTTCCCGCGGCTGCCCGGCGGCGGGCACAGACTCTCAGTCCAGCCTTCCCCCTTCGTTCCTTTCCCGCCCCAGGGGCTTGTTGGACCCCCCGCCCTGGAGCCGGGTGGAATTCCTCTCGGAAAAAAGCGGAAGTAGAAACCTCAGAACTCAGAGGAAGCGGCTTCTCGCAGCAGCAGCAGCAGCCGCCGCCGCTGCTGCAGGCCAGGCCTAGGTTCTTCTAGATGCCCATTTGACTCTGGGCCAGGGCCCGAGGCTCTTTTCTTTTTCTTTCTTTCTTTTTTCCTTCCTTCCTGCCCCGCCCCCTTTCACCCTGTTTCTCACTTTAGTGTTTTTAAAATTCATATTAAAAAGAGCAATCTCGCCTTTAAAAGTCGGCAGCCGCAGAAGGGGAATTACAAATAGGATGGGGTTTAATTAGCTGGTAATACTCCTCTCATGCCCTATAATTAAACAGAGATTCTAGTGGCGCTTCAGGGCCCACAAGTGATTATTACAAGCATATTTTACGTTTACATTAAAACTCTGTCCCCGGAGTGTAGTATGGGATCTGATTCCATTTATTCGTATTTCAAAACTGAGCACTGAGGTCAGAACACGGCTTTCCAATAATGGAAGGCTGGTGCATGCAGGCTGTTTGATTTCCTCGGCTGATTTTAATTTTTAATATTTTTTTTTTTGCCCTGTCTTGTTGATTCTGAGCGCCCCTCCCCTCCAAAGCCAGAACACCTCCTACAGTTTCCAACCCTACCCATGGGGGAAAATATTTGTGCAAAACCAGAGCAACTCGGGGGGGTTCCTCCTTATAATACAGATGCACAGGCAGGCATAGGGAGGCATCCCCAGGAGTGCCCTAGCAATTCAGAAGCCTCAGTTCAGACCTAAGCAATCACCGGGGCTCTCCTCTATGCCAGGGTCTTTTTACCTCTCTTCGGAGGCTTCTTGTTAATCCATCCCAGTCCCCTTAGCAGGCCCTACAGCTTCTCTCCAGCCTAGCGGCAGGGCCAACACATCAGGACCTCGCTGGCTTAGCCTGGCAGTCTTGTGGACCCACTGTCCCAACCCCACCTGAGAGACCCCATGGCTTGAAAGGAAGCTCAGACTTGGGTTGAGAGCCACCACCTTTGAATTAGAACTGCTTTCTTTTTAGGACCGGTATTCTCTTTCCCCAGGAGAGACCAACCCATTCTCCTGACTGGCTTGGGAAACTATTAAGCAACACGAAGTATCTGTGATATGTGTGAAAACAACAGCCTCCAACAAACTGTCTTGGAACAGAATGAAGGCATTCGGGAAATGGTGGAGATAGGCCTGTTTAACCTTCCGACCCCCCAGATGAGAATTCCTTTCTTCCCAGCTAGCTCTCTAGGATGCCTCCCCTTTAAAACATTTCCTGCCGAGACTTTCTCTTATTTATCTTTAATGAACAAGAAATCCCTGGAAATAGCTACACACAGAAGGAAGAAAAACCCACCACTCTTCGTTTTCACTAATTGGTGAGACTTGCTGGCCTGGTACCCCAAGTATCTTCAAACATATCATATGCATGGAAGTGGCTAGGCCAGATGGACTCCGCAGGTGCACATCTGCTGGCGAATTGCATTATTTACTTCTGTATTCATATTATATCTGCACGCAAGTGCACATTTTCAGAAACATACACATGTACCTACCCATGTGTACATCTAACATTTAGAATAGTCTGTGCCAAGAGACAGAAGAGGAGGGCATTTTAAAATTCTGAGCCTCTCCTCCTAGGTTTGTCCTTAAAGTCCAGTCTCCCCTTCTGGGAATGGAAAGAGACCTCCAGGGTGGAAAGCCTGAGGGTGGCGGGTGGGCAAATGGGTCTCCTAAAAGCGGCCATCATCCAGGTCTATTCAAAGTCACATGATTCATTAGAATCCTTAATCCTCACGAGAACACTAGCATCAGACCCTCTGACCCTGCCAGCGAAACCTCATAAAACTGGCCAAGATGCTGGCCAACATATGCACATGTTAAATTAGAGTGACGTGGTCCTTTGGCTTCTGGTCTGATGAACAGCATCAGGGCTGCAGGGGGCAGAGGTTTGGGGTCCCTTTCACCACCAAATGCCCTTTGGTCCCACCAAGGCATCAGTGGAACACAACCCACGATCTGAAAACTAGTCCACTTTATGGGGCAGCTTTTAAGCATTTCAGGCAAACTCTGTCACTGGGTCCCTAAGAGAAATGGGCAAAAACCTACTCATAGAAGGAAACAAAAACCTTTGTTGTTATTACTAATCCTAGTAGTATTGTAACCTAGGGGTTGGGAGAGAGTCCAAAGTGAAAACAGACACATTTTTTGTTATTAATAAATGTGTAGACACTTAGCAGCCCCCACCCCCAATGGCTATAGTCTTGTCAGGAACTGAAACTGCTTCCAACATCTTTACAGAGATGGGTAAAGAATGGCGTGATGAGGAAGAGCATGGGCTTGAGTCGACTTAACTACAATTCCGGTCAAGTACTGGAAGTCAAAGAAAACCCAGAAAACAGAACTACTTCATCTCTTGTTTCCTACACATGACATTTTTTTTCTCTTAAAAAAATGTGTCTATATCTTTCAGATAGACAGCAATAAGGATAAACCACTGTCTATGTTAGACTCAGTAGTAAGACCCTTAAACTTTTCCCAAGATCACAAAGATGTAGATGAAAGTGTTATTTGTTCAAGCCCAGGGTCTCAGGCACACTGGCAAGCGAGCATTCCTAACTTTTCATCATTTGTTGAATTGCAAATAACAAAATGCCTGAGATCTAAGTCTGCATGGTTATTACATTTCAGAATTTATCTCAATTATTTTATAGCTAACATGTATCAACCAATCCTTATCTCTTTAGAACCTGCACAAATGAATTGCACTTGAGAACATTGTAAAAACTCTCGTATAATAAGAGAAAATTTATTCATGACTTACTTGATGCATAACCGTTTAGCTGTTTTCAATTTGGAGGGATGAAGGGATAGATAGATGGAAAGGGGAATTCTTAGCTTGTGCAGGGCCTAAGACTCAATCCAAAGCACACACACAAATCAATTTGAGTTGGAAGGAGGGCCACACCAAAACGTGAAAAGCCACTTCCACAACTCTAGACAGAATTTTATAATTTCTGCCTTTCTAGTTGCTTCTCTTTCTCTGCTTGCCTTCACCGAGTAAAGACAGTCAAAGGTGGAGCCTTGGCGATCATTTGTTCTGAGTATCCCCTGGGTTGTAAAATTTAGATTACAATCAGGATATATCTTCTACCGAGAGACACTGTATTTTGTGTCATCTTCAAAGCCTCTTCAAAGCCTCCAAGGGTCCCCCCCCCCATTCGTTTCCATCAACTGCACAGACATAATGGAGTGACTTGCAATGCTAGAACCGTAAGAATGATAGTCCTTTGGATTTGCTATGTGTTAGGAAGCTCAGAGAAGATGAACAAGCAGTGAATAACAGTATGTGTGTGTGGGATAGCTGGAAAAACTTGGTTGCCTGTCTGTTTTGTAGATCTTCTTGACTCACAAGAACGTCATGCCTTTTCATTAGGAATACATCTCATGATGGGGAGATGGTGCAGACTTGTAATCCCAGCGCCTGGGAGATGGACATAAGAGGAGGAACACTTAGATTACAGGTGGGTCCTATCTTTACAAACAAAACTAAGTAAGAAACCTCACCAGGATGCACAAAACAGATAGATGCTAAATGTAGCATTGTTAGCATCTGTCCCATATTGAAAGGAAGTGTCAGTTGCTGTCTGCTGAGAATCTAGGATTTAAAAACATATAGTTTGCTTTCTGTTTTGTTTAATGGGTCCTTCATTGGAAATCTGACCAGGAAATGCTATTTTTATGAGAAGAAAGGCATTTTAGGTGAGTCTCTCCTTTCATCCTCCCCAAAAGGGGGGACCAGCCAGTTTAAAGTCATTTACAGCTCCAGCTAAGTCACTGGGAAGGTAGATTTGAAAGAGTGAGAGCCTTTAGTCTCACAGGGAAAGACTATGCTAGAATATAACTGAAAAGACAGTTTCTAGCAGATGTTTTGAAGTGAACTTTTTTTTTTTTTCAGGGAGAAGATCCTTGTCTAGAAATGGCGTCCTCTCAGAGACCATTTTTTTCCACACACACACCAGTTATACCTCTTAGGGTGGACCATACACTTCGCTCCTTTGCCAGAACTCTAGAAGGGTAAGAGTTAGGCATCTGCTGCTCAGGAAGGAAAACAATGCCTTAAACTGTGTGTGTGTGTGTGTGTGTGTGTGTGTGTGTGTGTGTGTGTGTGTGTGTTTCGTTTTGGGGAAGAGAGTCTTGCTATATACCCCTGGCTGTTTTGGAACCTGCTGTGAAGAGCAACCTGACTTGCAACTTGTGGTGATCCTCTTGTACCCAGGGTCCATGTGCTCAGATTTTAGGCTGGACACCATGCCTGACTCAAACCTACATTTTAAAAAAGAATAGAAGCATCAAAACCCAGGGTGAACTCCGAAATCAAAGAAACTGTGTATGTTTGGGGTTGGATAATCGTTCACTTTCATTACCTCCAGGTAATTAAAGAGCTCTCACATGCCCAAATATTTTAATTTAGAACCGCTGTGGTCTTCAAGAATGTGCAAATAAACAAATCCACCCTGTCCAAGGACGCTGCTCTGCAACTCACTCTGATGTTTATGTCTCTAGAAGTTTTTCATGTTGTATCGTCCAGACTAGTAAACAAGCTAAACTGCTCCGATGTCAAAGGTCGGGGCTGCAAAATGAAAGGGACTTAGAAAGAAGCTGTCTTACTTAAATGTACAGTATATAGGAAAGCAAACCGGGAATGATCTCTGCTGTGCCCATTTATGCTCATCAACAGATTCTGTCCCAGACACAAAATTAGGTTATAGTTTCCCACAAAGCAGGTGTTGATGTGAGTCCCATAGTATGCTGGGAGGGGGTTCCTGTAGTGGCCAAGAGAAAGGATGGGCCTGAGACCCCCAAAGGCAGCCATTGAGGGAAACAGTTGAGGTAGGAAGGGAATGAAAAGGAG